AAGCTGCTGGGCAAGGTCACCATCGCGCAGGGCGGCGTGCTGCCCAACATCCAGGCCGTGCTGCTGCCCAAGAAGACCGAGAGCCACCACAAGGCCAAGGGCAAGTGAGGGCTGTCGGCCGCCTCCGGAACCAAAAAGGCTCTTTTCAGAGCCACCTACATGTTTTGGAAAGACTTGAGCACTTGGTGGAAGTTTTGGCAATAGTTTTTTGAACTTCGTAGCCGATGTTCGTCAACTCCTGTCTTCCGTCCTTACTCTTGTAGATAAGCTGGCGGATGAGCTCCGCGTTGAAATTCGCGTGCAGGGTACTTCCACCCTGTGCTTCACTCCTAAATCCTGCCACTCGCTACCACCGAGTCGTTTCCAGTGGGGCGGTTTTAAGCCTAATGTGGCAGGTGGGTTTTCTGGGAATTAGGAAATTCCTAGGATGTAGCATCCAACCTAGATGTCTAAAACAGTTAAGGCTTTATTGTTTCGGAAGTTAGATTTCTGAGCTCAAATCCAACATCAGGATGAACAGTCTCCATGTTTAGTTTAAAAAGGACTTTGAATTTCAGAGCATTAGTTGGGCTGTGTTGCCCGAGACTCCTCATTGTTTCCTGCAGTGCTTTCCCAGCCTCGTGGCATCCGCGCAAATCTGTTTACAGTCGAGCTGGATGTTCATTTCAGCATAAATTGTGCTTTGAAACGCCTTTGACTCGCCCTTTTCACCCTGAAATGTATGCACTGCTGCACTAGATTCTTTACTAGCACAAGCATTTGTAGAAAAGCACTTTTAGACTAGCAGGAAAGAATAGTGGGTTTCATTATTTGAGCTGAAAGCTAAACTAGTACAAGCAGCGTGTTTTTTTTTTTTTTAAATAAAATTATTAGGCTTTAGAATTCTCATAAAAATCGGATTTTATTGGCGAAAAATGTCCTTAAAATCAAGTAAAGGCAAAAGGTGACCGCAGGTGCCAACTACTCGAATTTGGTAATTAGCTACTGATCACTGGGAATTTGGTAGTCTAATAAAGTGCTGTGCACATACAGTGCACAGAGGGTTTCTAAGAGCTTTTTCAAGAAAGGAAAATATTAATAGGTTGAATTCAACAAGATGTTGAAATTAAATTTGTGGAAAAAGTCCTTAAAATGGCTTTACTTTCTTCTGTCTTGACTTCTACAAAAATTCATTCATCTCATTTATATTTATTTCCATAGGAGATAGCGAGTATAAAACCAGTTCGGGACAAAAAAAAATCAGTCCTGCACAGCTAAAACTGTCACAGAATTTTGAAAAAAACTTTGAAAGCGCTTGACCAATCCTGTTCTAGTTGGGTGGGCCTTGGCTGCTTTTTTGTCCAATCACGTTCAGGCTCTGACTATAAATACACGGCCCGGCTCAGTCCCTGGAGGTGAGGTGGCTTTTGTCCTGCAGCGATGGCTCGTACGAAGCAGACGGCGCGCAAGTCCACCGGCGGCAAGGCCCCGCGCAAGCAGCTGGCCACCAAGGCGGCCCGCAAGAGCGCGCCGGCCACCGGCGGCGTCAAGAAGCCGCACCGCTACAGACCCGGCACGGTGGCGCTGCGCGAGATCCGGCGCTACCAGAAGTCCACCGAGCTGCTGATCCGCAAGCTGCCGTTCCAGCGGCTGGTGCGCGAGATCGCGCAGGACTTCAAGACCGACCTGCGCTTCCAGAGCTCGGCCGTCATGGCGCTGCAGGAGGCCTCCGAGGCCTACCTGGTGGGGCTGTTCGAGGACACCAACCTGTGCGCCATCCACGCCAAGCGGGTCACTATCATGCCCAAGGACATCCAGCTGGCGCGCCGCATTCGCGGGGAGCGGGCCTAGAGCCCGCGACCTCTCCTTGTCCCCAAAGGCTCTTTTCAGAGCCACCCACGTGTACACTGGGAAGGGCTGTAATCTCTGGTTGCTTCCCGAGCAGGGTTGTGTTCAACTTTGTTCTGAATTGGGGCGGTTCCTGTTTTCACAGCGTCCTTGGTGTGTGAGCCAAAGCCAGGCACGTGTACGGGTCCCACTAGTGAGTTATTAACCCGCAGTTACTGTATTTTTCTATTGCAAAACAATGTTGGCAATTGACCAAGTGCGCTAATGCTACTGTATTTCCCAGTAGCTGAAGTGGTGAAGCACTGTCCCTTGCTGCCCCCAGTTCCTATGTTTCCATGTCGTAGCTGTTTGGGCCTGGTAGACCGCTAGTGGGTTGCAGGAGAGCTCCCCGGGTAAGGCTTCCCTGGATTAACTCCTGTACAATATTTGTGGGACATTTATGCTTAAGCCATCCTAGATGGCACAGGTAATCCCAGCATCGGGAGGCTGAGGCAGGAGGACTGCTATGAATTCAGGCAACTGGGAGTCCAAAGTGAGTTTAAGGCCAGCCTGGATTAGGAAGGCAGTCTTGTAGGGAAGCTAGTGGCCGCTTGGAGATGAGACAAACGTCCAGCTTTTGTGTAAATGTTCCCATCAAGGATTTGGCTATTAACCAGAACTCCCGAAATACTGTTTCACCAGAGAATGTGTGTCACATTGTACCACTTTGCTTCATGTTTGTCTAAAATTTAGGTGTATCAAAGAAAATTTGGCTTTTGTACAGCTAGCAATATAGCACTCAAATGCTTTTTAAAAATGGGTGTATGCATGAGGGCATAACAGCAACCATGTGGAAGGTCCGAAATGAGTAAGACCCGACGGGCCGGGTGTGCAGGCGTCGGCGTCCGCAGCCGGCCTTCCTCCGCCCGCCTTTGCATTCTGCAGTGCGTGGCCCTGACTCCTTCCCACCATCTTCCTTTGGCGTCTGGGCGCTTCTCAAGCCTTCACCTGGCATGGTGTGTCTGCAAAGCATTGTGTACAGCGAAGCCCAGACACTCAGCAGAAGTTGTGCCCGAAAGTGTTCACTTGTGAAAGAAACATGGACACAACATCGCAGAGCTTTTGCAGTTTTAAAAAGCAGTTTGCTTTTCCTCTTAGTGATTTACACACGCAGAACTGGTTACAGTCTTCATATTTTTCTGAAATCAGATACAAATCAGCACTGACACATTCTGCTCCTTCTCATTGGCTGAGTCTGAGAAATGGGATCCTCATGATTTTGACAGATGGGACCTATATAATTTTTACATAGCATATTTAGAATGATTTCAATATTTTACAAAAATAAAATGTTCTAATGCTTCCTGTTGCGATCACATTAAACAGTATATAGGTGTGAGAGGCCTCTCTTGGGACTTAGCCTTTCTCAGGAAAGGAAGGCACAGAAACCCGCACAGAAGCAAGGCCGCAGGCCCACAGGCCAGGCGGATTCCTGCTGGGCCAAGCTGCGCCCAAGTGGGAGACTGCGGTTCTAGAGTGAGCGAGCCGCCTCTTCTCTGAGAAGCTTACCATAGGCAGCTCCCCTGGAGGGTTTTCAGGTTTGTGCTCATCAGTGTTCTTGCAGGATGAGAAGGCGCCTTTTTTGGGGACATAGCAGCCAAACTTTCCCAATTAAGTTTTCAGGTTGGGTTACATAAAGCATTCTTTATTCTAGGACTGTGAGTACCTCACATGTATAGGAATATTCTCTCGGAAAATACTTCCTGTACTGAATGGCAACGTCTTTGTAATTTTCTAGTGCATTTTTTTTTTTTTTTTCTTTTTGTGGAACCAGGGATTGAACTCAGGCTCTTCCGCTTGTCAGGGAAGCACTTACTCCACTGAGCCATCTCCCTGGCCCCACTAGTGCATTTTTTGAACCTTGAATGTTTCCATCTTACAAGAATGGAGTTTTGCTGTACTGTGTAACGGCACACCAAAAAATGAATACTCTGTGATGCCGGATCTTTCTGACTGTTGCTAATGGGTAGTAAAGGCCTTTCCCAAGACAAGGATCAATTAGTGAGAGGTGGGTTAGTGACAGCGCGGGTCAGTCTGCTGGCTGTAAGAAATCTAGCAGGTAGATGAATGAGAACGTCTCAGGCTCAGACTTAGGTTGTCTGGAATGGACAAAAAGAGCTGGGCATTAAGGAGGAAAGCTACATGAGAGGCTGACAAACCCCTGTGCCCGGTGCGTGAGGCTTTTGGGCCACTGCCAAGTTGGATTCCTTATCACTTGGCTTCCAGCAGAGCTGAGGCCTGGGGGGTCACTCTGCTGGGTCCCCCACTGCCGGCATTTCCTCCAGTCCCAGAATCAGCCTTGCCCTCTTCAGCTTTCACTCCTCCTCTGCAGCCCCCTTTGGTTATTCTTGTTCCATTATGCGTTTGTGTGCTTTCACCCTATAGATTGCTTGTGATAGGCAGTTTTATTTATGGTGTATTTTTAATGCATGACATCTCAGTGTGAATAAGTGAATTAGACTTTAACAAAAGATGGAAAGATGTAAGTCCTTGCACCTGCAATTCCTGAGGCAGCAAAGACAGCAAGTGGCATAAATACTCCAGTCCTCTTCAGGGATGAAAATAACACCTTGCCATGTTCCCATAGAACCGCGCATCACAGACCCCCGACCTCACCATGCTCCAACGGCGTCTCGCGTTTCCGCGCAGGCCATACCTGTCCTCACAGGAGTTCTGACAATGCTCCTGGGTTGAAAGCAGCATTGACTTCTGTCATTCTTACAGTCCAGCTTTCCTAGGCTCGGCCTTCTGCCCACCCAGGAGACTCAACAACTCATTCTTGCTTCTTAGCAACGTGTAAGATAGGCCCATTAAGGCCAGGCACAGCAGTGTTTAACAAACCAGAAAAGATCAGGACATAACAATTTTATAGAAAAACACTGCCTTGTAAATTTCAGTAGTGCATCAGCACAGGGAACTGGAGCGTTATGTTGAAGGACCCTAGATAGGTGCCAGGATCCCGGACTCCAGGAATCAGAAAAACCAAAACCAAGAACTCAGTGCAGTAGTAGCGCCATTGTAATACGCTCATATTCCGAGTCCTATCTTTCAAGAGGCCGAGGAAACTGTGAGGAGCTAGGTCAGGGGTAGAATGCTTCTTGTGCACGCCTAAGGGCGAGCTCAAGTGTACTTACTGTGAAAAAGCACAAGTTCCAAGTAGAACGAAAACCAAACCTGCATTGCCTTTGACCACTTTGTACTATCAAAAGTGCGCAAAAAAAAAAAAAAAAAAAAAAAAGTGCGCAACAGGTACTGTCTACTCACACCCCTCGGCATTGCTAGCACGAATTTATCAGACACGCACCTACCGCTGATAGTATCCCTCACGCTCAGTCTCAAGCCTGCACCCCTATAACCACTCACGGTACAACAATGTGGTCTAGATCGTGTGGAACCATGTACCATGTACCTGGCTCTTGCTAGCGGACGTGCCGGTAGGGAGGCGAGTTAAAACTGAGGCCCAGCACACTAGCTTAAGGTCTGAACATCAACGAAGCCCAGTGTCACATTCTTCTACGACCAAGTAAGTGGCTCTGAAAAGAGCCTTTGTTTTCATTTCGGCACTTGTGTTTTACTTGGCCTTGTGGTGGCTCTCGGTCTTCTTGGGCAGCAGCACGGCCTGGATGTTGGGCAGCACGCCGCCCTGCGCGATGGTGACCTTGCCCAGCAGCTTGTTGAGCTCCTCGTCGTTGCGGATGGCCAGCTGCAGGTGTCGCGGGATGATGCGCGTCTTCTTGTTGTCGCGCGCCGCGTTGCCCGCCAGCTCCAGGATCTCGGCCGTGAGGTACTCGAGCACGGCCGCCAGGTAGACCGGGGCGCCGGCGCCCACGCGCTCGGCGTAGTTGCCCTTGCGCAGCAGGCGGTGCACGCGGCCCACGGGGAACTGCAGCCCGGCGCGGGACGAGCGCGTCTTGGCCTTGGCGCGAGCCTTGCCGCCCTGCTTGCCGCGTCCAGACATAGTTACGAGTCGCTCCACCCAGTCGCCCGCCGCTACGCTCGGGAGGCCGCAAAGCCTTCTTTATAGCGTCTTCCGGGCGCGAAAATCACACGCTGCGATTGGCTGCTTTTCATTTTCGTATGCACCAATGGGACGCGGCTGTGCGCGACGCGTGTTTCCATTGGGCGAGAATGCTCTGTGATGTCACAGAGCGTTCTGACCAATCGCCGAAGACCTTTTGTACGCCTCATTTGCATACCTTCGGCTACATAAAGCTGTGCCGGCCTCGGCTCTCCTGAGTCAGTGTATCCCTGTCTCGCTCTTTTCTAGTTCCGAGATGCCCGAGCCCGCGAAGTCAGCGCCCGCCCCGAAGAAGGGCTCGAAGAAGGCGGTGACCAAGGCGCAGAAGAAGGACGGCAAGAAGCGCAAGCGCAGCCGCAAGGAGAGCTACTCGGTGTACGTGTACAAGGTGCTGAAGCAGGTGCACCCCGACACGGGCATCTCGTCCAAGGCCATGGGCATCATGAACTCGTTCGTCAACGACATCTTCGAGCGCATCGCGGGCGAGGCGTCGCGCCTGGCGCACTACAACAAGCGCTCGACCATCACGTCGCGGGAGATCCAGACGGCCGTGCGGCTGCTGCTGCCCGGGGAGCTGGCCAAGCACGCGGTGTCGGAGGGTACCAAGGCTGTCACCAAGTACACGAGCTCCAAGTGAGCGCTCCCGTGCGCGCACCCCAAAGGCTCTTTTCAGAGCCACCCAAAATTTCCAAGGAAGAGCGTTCACTTTCGCTTTTTTCGTCTTCGCCACGTACTGTGTGCGCATGCATTAGTGAGATCAGGCTTGCATCCTCTTCCCGAGTTTGAGGTGTGACTAGAGCCGTGCACAAGGGGGCACACTTTGGAAGTTTCGAACTATGTTGCATGTGACCCTTACACACTTCAGCTCTGGGACCTGTACTTCTGAGTAGTTGGGATTCGCACTCTTAATTGCAACTGTTGTCTGAGATCGGCGTCCTCGCATCCCGTTATCCCCGCCCAGCCCCACCCTCCGGCAGGCCCGGAGCTCTGCGCACTTAGACCTGCTGGGTCTAAGTGATTCAAGGCAGTGGCCCTGGCTGAGGATTTGGACTCAGTCAGTCCTAACCTAGTGTGCCCTGCTTTCCGGAGTCTCCTGTTGCTGGGACTCAGGTGGTCTTTCCGTGGTCCCTGAGAAACGGCGGAGGCGATTTCAAAAGTAAACAGCCAAGGTCAGGTGGTGGCCCGCGTCCCATGGCAAAGGACGTACAGAACAGCAGTAGGGGCGTTTATTTCTACCTGACAAAGTGAGCATCACGGACACAAGGCTGCCTAACGACTAAGCCGGAATTGCCCAGGCGGGATGCTTTTCTCAGGACTGGGGTAGCCTGATGTTCTAGGCAGGCTCTGCGGCCTAGCCCGCCCTCACTCCCTTTGCTGACTTCCAGCTCAGGCTGCCCCCAGTGTACTACTGTGGCTGCTTTGCATGCGCTGTACCCATGCCCTGGTCTCAGCAGTCACGCTGCCTGTAAAGTTACCAGCATTCTTAAAGAAGATTAAATGGCTCTTAGTGGCAATGTATTGAGTACGCTTTGATGAATAAACCCAAATATGTTGCTGGTAAGGCTGAGTATAAGTTGGGAAGTGTTTTACCAAGTTGAGGCTCGTCTGGCTTCACCGCATCCGACCTGGAGTCCCGGGTGTGAGAAGAGCCCGTCCCGGTCGGAGAAGGAGCTCGGCCTGGCTGGAGCCCCCGGGTGTGCGGGTCCTTGTGCTCCTCAGCAGCTGGGGTGAACCTGGCCAGAGGGAGATTTGTCTCCCAAGAAAAGCAGCATGAAGTTCATCCAGCAGGAAAGCTGGATTTTGTAATGGGTTAACTCACATTTTAGGCTATATGGGTGTGAATCTTGTGCTTTCTGTTGTAAATGCATACCCACCCATTGTTTTAGATTGTTTAGTAAATAGTGGCTGTTACCTGTAGTTTGCTAGATAAAACTCACAAATCCCTTTAAACAAAGACTTCTAACTCCTTGTAACCTTCAGGCTATGTAAGGCTGCCTGCAGGTACTCAGGTGCAAATTAACCAGAAACTAATAAAACAATAGCCCCAGGAAATGTAGTTTAAGTCCTGGTCCCAATCACTCTAAAAGCTTTATTTTGTGTCAGACAGTAAATTTGCTTATCAAACGCAATGTGATTCCAAGGTTTAAAACCCCTTCCTGCTTCCTGGGCTGCTGCCTTGCGTGAGAGCAGACTGGGGGGCCCTGAGCTCAGTAATAAACGGCTTTCCAAATTCCAACCTGGCTGATCTGGTTCCTATTCTGAGTGACCCATAACAGATTTTACCACAATTTTTATGAATCTTGTGCCATGGGCGATGCACCTTCAATAGCGGGCAAGTTGTAAGTGGACTGGAAGGGACAGATCAGAGGGCAAGAGGTCAGAACGTGCCTGGCAAGAGGACCAGAGGGAGGCCTGCGAAGGGCTGGCGCCTCAGTTGCAGGAAGAGCTTCGGGGAGGAGACTTGGGAGCGGGGAGCTTCCTGGCCTTGTGTTCCAGGAATGCCCCTTCCCATTGTGAGCCAGGGCCTGTTTTAAATCCTGTCAATGTGGAGGTGGGTAGGTGGGTAGAAGACTAAACTGAGCTCAATAAAACTGCCAGCATTTGCTTCGGAATAGCAGGGCATGTGTTGAGGTTTCCGAATACAAATCCATGTTAGTGGAAGCTGAAAGCTGGAGGACGGGACTCCAGCCTCTGGTGCGCCTTCAGGCCATCTGAGTACCTGGCTGGTACGAGGGCAGTGTGCAGGGCAGATGGTTTCCTAGTGATAATGAAAATGCACATTCACCGCGGACTTAGGCCATAGCCGCATCTACACCTGGCTTGTGTTCTTTGTTTCTGTCTGAGATAGCCTCGACTTTTAAATCGAAGGTGTTAGGTGCAGAAATGACAGCGCTTCGAGAGGAAATGGACTTCAAGAAACCAAACCTGGAGGCTCTGGGCATGACTTGGCATGACTGCCACAGTCACCTAGGCGTGCGACTACCCCATGGCCTGGGGTGACAGTCTCTTCCACGGTTTCCGTTCAGCTAGACTAAGCCACTCGTGTGGCTTGGAGCGTCCCACCCACACCCTCGTGCCGGATGCTGCGCCTGACTCGTCCACAGTGTGAAGTGGACCAGTACCTTCCAGCCAGCATGAAGCAACTTTTGTCCTAATCAGATTCCTTCCCCCACCCCATCAAAAAAAAATTCTTTCCCAGGGTACAGGGATCTGTTCCCGCTGCTCAGATCACACTGGCGTCTGTATGCTGCCTTCTGGGCACCCTAGCTCTGCCTGCTCCTGTCTCACAGCGTCAGATGCTGGGCTTCCCACTGTGCCTGAGTTGTTGCAGAGCATTCAGGAGCTTTCAGGAACATTCAGGAGCGCTAAGGAATGTCTGCAACATTCGGGGATATTCACAGGCATTCAGAAATATTCAGGAATGTTAAGGAACATTCAGGGAAGGTTAAGAATATTCAGGGAAGTTCAGGAATATTCAGGATCATTCAGGGATATTCAGGGAAGTTCAGGAATATTTAGGATCATTCAGGGATATTCAGAGACATTCAGGACTATTCAGGAATGTTAAGCAATGTCAGGACCATTCAGGAACATTTACAGACATTCAGAAATTTTTTTTTAGAAACATTTGAAAATGTTTGAGAACATTCAGGGACTTTCAGGGAAATGGAACATTCAAGAACTTGCTAGAACATTCAGGAGCATTCAGGAATGATGTAGAACTTTAATGGATATTCAAAACATTCGGGGCTGGGGAGATGACTAAGTGGAATAAGCGCTTCCCTGACAAGCGCAAGGGCCTGAGTTCAACTCCCAGTTCCAAAAAAAAAAAAAAAAAGAACAAAACATTCAGGAACATTCAAGAGCTTCCTAGAATATTCAGGATCATTCAGAAATATTCAAGAACATTCAGACATTCATAAACATTCAGGAATATTCAAGAACTTTCTACCACATTCAGGAATGTTCAAGAATGTTGTGGAACATTTATGGACATTCAGGAATGTTCAGGAACTTTCTAGAACTTTTGGGACCATTCATAAATGTTCAGGAATATTCAAGAACATTCGGGAACATTCACAGACATTCAGGAATGTTCAGGAACTTTCTAGAACATTCAAATAGGGACATTCAGAAGAAAGTTCATGAACTTTGTAGGAACATTCAGAAATGTTCAGGAACATTCTAAAACATTCAGGAGTATTCAGGAATGTTCTGGAATATTCATGGACATTCAGAAATGTTCAGGGACATTGAGGCAGCCTAGACAGGGGGCAGTAGAGAAGTAAATGGGATGAGTCAGGACTTGACGGCCTCAAGTTCAGCAGCTTCTTACAGAAAAACCCATACTCATTGCTAATGGCTGACAGGTGAAGTGGTCAAGGAGGGCAGGAAGGTTTTGGAAGAAGGAAATGAAGAGATGTTTCACCTCCCATTATGGCCAAAGCCTTCCAGAATGGAGAGTCCCAATTAAGGGGAGGGCAGCCTGCCCAGTGTCAGTGAGTCAGACATGTTGACAGCAGTGAGGTCAGCTTCAGAAAAATCTCGGGATTTGTCACATATGAGCGGCATCCTTGAAGAAGCAATGAAGACCTAAAGCCCCATCAGCATCTACAAGCTTCCCAACCTTCATGAGGGCAGAGGAGTGAGTGGGCAGGCCCTGGGAGCCAAGGCGACGTTCACAGCCACAGGGAGCACAGGGCAGCACACAGCTGAGCTAGCTGGGTGGTGGTGACCTCCACTCTTGAGTGACAGAGCTCCATTCTCTCAGGTGGGCAGGGGGCTTAGAACTCTGAGCTCCTCCTGGAGGATCTTTAGTCAGAGAACAGACATCCAGGGAGCCTATGCTCATGGTTCCCTCAGTGCCCTCACTTTGAAGTGCAAAGCACAAATGTGGGAAAAGCGTTTACCACTCCCCCACTCCGCTATGTGCACACAACATTGAATACACGGAGCCAGGCCCGGTGCCGGTCACCTAGAGCCAGGAGAACCTCAGGAGGTGAGAGCACATTCCCAGCTGTGTCTTCCACTTTAAGCCACGAGTTCTAGGCCACCAACACTGCTGAGTGA